AATGGCATCATCAACATACTAAGCTGTTCTAAAGGAAGGTAACTTGAATCAGCAGGCAAACAGGATATAACTGGTACTCCAACAAGTATTAAAACTCGCCTGAAGTACCAGTAAAAGTTGAACTCACCGAAGCTGTAAAAAGCTTAAAAAGTGGCAAGGCTCTTAGAATCGATGCAATACGCATTAAAATGCCAAAAGCATTGGGCGAACATGGCATGTTGAAGCTAATACGTGTCTGACAAATTGCATCAGCTACGGGAAAGACATCAGCAGACTAGAGTACAGGGTTGTAGTTAGCCTGTTCAAGAAAGGGGACCATATGGCGTGTTTTAATTACCGGCGCAATACACTCTTGAGTTTTCCGAGAAAAGTCTACACAGGTGTTAGAAAGATGCTACCGAGAATAATTGACTCTAAGATACAAGAAGAGCATGCAGCTTCAAGCCTAATGCTGGGTTGTTGACAAATCGTGGGGGAGGGGGTACTTTCATCCGGTATAAATGTGTTTTGACATGCAGAAAGCTTATAAACAAACTGTGAACATATCTGCGAACATTTAGAGTCGACGGCTAGTTACTACGGGCCATCAAATCACTACACGCTGATAGGTGTTGTGTCAGAGTAAATGGCGTTAAGCTGAAGCCTTTCAACGTTGGCACTGGTCTATCAAGGCTGCGTCCTGTCCCCTCTCCCGTTTCTGCTGTACATGGACAGAAAAGTCAGGCAAGTCGAGGCGATGAATGTATCAGTGTAGGAGACGTGAAGACGAGACGGTTGCTGTTTGCATACGACCCTGTTTTATTGGCATCTTCTGAAACTAATTTACAGTGCTCCCTAGAAAAGTCTGCAGCCGAGGGCGACGTGACCGGCATGCGAATGAACGAATCTAAAACGAAAAACAGTGCTTTCTCGTTCTTCTGTCCATTGCCCTCTTCAGATTAACGGAGAGGCAGTGGAGCAGGTGGAGAAGTTCAAGTACCTCAGAACTGTATTTACTATTGATAGAAAATTCGAGGAAGAGATCGACCGGCGGATTGGATCACCCAGTGACGCTCTGCGCGATCTAGCCCGATCCACTGCGATTAAAGCAGAGCCTAGTCTGAAGACTAAGTTCTCGGTATTCAAGTCGATCTTCATCCCCATGCTTACATACGGTTATGAGTCGTGACTGAGAAGACTGAGAAGCTTCGAGCCCGAGTACAAGCGGCTGAAATTGTCTTTATGATAAGAGTTGATGGTCTTACCCGTCTCGAAATGGTCCGAAGTACAGAAATCTGAGAGATAGTGGGTATACTGCTTCTCCAGAGTGAGAAGTCATACCTGCGATCGTTTGGACACACGTTCCAAATGCTTTCAGAAAGGAAGGCAAAACAACTACTGCTTGCTCAACCAACCAGCCGAAAACCCCGGAGCGGCCATGAATAACTTAGAAAAGTGTCTCGAAGAACTCTCTTCCATGCTCGAATTATTTTCTGCCGAAGCCCATGTGCACAGGCGCAAGGTCAGGAACGTTGGAAACAATGAGTGACGCGTCTGCCTCCTCAATCTAAAAGGACAAGCGGCCAGCAACACTGACTGACAGGCTGGCTTATGTCGCTTTTTACGTTTCTGTAGCATTCTTGGATAAATCTACGCCTGCTATTCAAGATCTATTGTCCCTTTTCACTTTTTCGAATTCTCGAAAACAGGCGATGCTACACTGAGATCGAAAATCAATCAACTGGTTATCATCAGCAAACAATTTTCCAAACGTAGCAAAAGCAAAACCGGACGAGACATTACAATTTGCAAGGTCAGTTGAAGAATGGCACTGAAACATTTTCGACCGAAATAAGTTCAGTAATTGATCGTACTGGCCATCAAATGTCGGTCAACCATTAACAACTTGCCTGCGGTGATTGCCGTTGAAAATAGCTAACTTTGTGATATCTGTAGCACCTGTCTCTTGTCGCTGTGACTCTTTCTGCGCCATAAGACCTACCTGTTTGTAAACCGGTTGCAAGCAATGAAAATCACTTACCTATGAGTGATTGATTTCTTCTGATTAATGGACAGGAACAATTCATCAAAGGGAATCTGCAAACTTCGATTCAAATGCAGCAAGCCTCAGTACATATATTTTTATTGCCCTTTACTAAACAGAAAAGCGATCTGGAAAGGTTTCTTCAATGATACCGGTTCTCTGCCTAGCTAACGCAAGGACAAGAAAAGCAATCGAGCAAAACGAAACTTAAAATGAAAGCAGTGCAGTGCGACGTTCTCACCTGAAATACACGTGTCTGCAAACTGTTCCACTATTCCTGTGCTGTTGCGTTGCCCATTCCACTTGTATATATAAAGGGAAGTGTTATCCGTGTCCGCATCGATCACAATACCGTACTAAACTATATGAAGTGTTATCACAAGTATACTTAAGCATATGCACAACCACACAAACGACATGTACAGTTAAAATTCTTGTACTTTCAATTTCAATCGCACTCAATTTTAATCTCTGCCAGGTTTTTCCATATTGTGTGAGGCCTCATCATTTTGAAATTACTTAATAATAAAACTTCAATGACAAGCGTAGATAGCACTGAAAACAGACACGGACGGTATAATAAAAAATCACAATATTGTCATAACAAAAAATCCACCCACATGACACGTTACATCAGCTTTAATTCCCGCACCTTAACATGAATGAAAGCAGATTCGGTTCAAAAACGATACTTACAAAATATAAGGTTATGCGGGGACCACTCGTCTCTCTATCAGCAGAACAGCAAGCCTGTCACCGAACATGAGGAATAACGGTACCTGACGGCCTTATTCCATAAGCAATTCAATCATGTGGACAGGGTTTACGATCCATAAGAAAAGAAAATCACCAGAGACTTCTAGCCGCCCTCTCATAGTCATCTGTCACTAAAAGAACTTAAATGGAAGAATCAACCGCTTCATAACCCGTACGTTGTAACTACGGTATACAGATTCCCAAACATATTTGCAACCTCCTGTACCAAGAAAAGCATCATACGAAAACAAGAGGATGGATTAGTATATCAGGTAAACTACTCCGAGAGTTACATTGGAGAAATTGAAAGAAACGTGAAGAACCAGATCGGAGAACACATGGCTTGTCTAGGCAGAGCAAATCAGAAAGCTCTGGCTTCGCGGGTCACAGCATATTAAGGAACTGTGCCATACAATGGGAAGCAAACAGCGTCATCCACGCAGAAGAAAATATGATAGGACAATCCAGCAAGGCTTCCACTGTTATATGATTAAACTGTCAATAAGTGTATGCCGTTGTCTTTAAAAGCTCATCGTCATTTTCCTTGCACCATACCGTAGCAAGGAAAGCCACTACATCGGCATTAAAACTCGTCATCAAAAATGTAGTAAAACAAAGTAGTACAAAAGTGAGATTAAATCTAAATCAGTAGAATTTGGTAGTTAGTAGAAAAGTTTTAGTTAACTTTACACTCAGGAGACTCGCCATCTTGAGATACAAGATGGTTCCACATCTTGATCCGGAATGAACAACATCTGTGCACTCGCCAAACCCGAACTAAACTACTGAAATAATTAAACAAAAATGTATTCATAAACTGCACCTGAAAACCTCCAGCTAGGTATTCACAAAAGTTTCT